AGAAGGATGCGGTGAGTATCAGTACTAGTTCAATATATAGTTTCTCTGTCTAGAAGGATGCGGTGAGTATCAGTACTAGTTCAATATATAGTTTCTCTGTCTAGAAGGATGCGGTGAGTATCAGAAGTGTATCAATCACCAGGTGTAACATTCGGGTACTTACACCAGTAATGTAATCATACACAGGTATCATTGTCCTGCTATTGATTTGAAATAGAACAAAGGGTTCTGTCATTGTGCTTTATCAGTTTTAGGGTCCTGTCAGTGTTCTGAAGTCAGATCTCGGAGCTCTATCATTCAGAACTTGAACGATTGATGTGATGATTGAGCTTGAGTGATAACCATGAAAATTTTTCAATTTCCGATGCATTTGAGAGACGCTCCTGCTCTATAAATATCACGTTGTCCACCCACACAATCCTTTAGCGAAGATTATTCACATTCTGGCAGTTTTGCTTTCTAACTTTACCCATGTGTTGATAATCTTAAAAAAAGATTGAACTATCTGATTGTGGGTAAAGTTTTAGCTTAGTTCGATAAAGGACGGATTCAAAGTATAATTATGAAGACTTGCATTCTGAAATGTGGAGGGGTCCGTAGAGTTGCTACATAATTTTCTGCTTCAATATCTACGTCGTCAAATAGCTTAATTAATAAGTTTTGAAAATATCAGGGTTATGTTTGGTAATTTGGCAATAATCTAACGTTTTCAATAATCTGGATTTGAACACCCTGGTTCAGATGGTGATATTTGATTTATAAATCGATGAGAGGATTTATTTGTGTTCACATTAGATTGAACAGGTAGTTACTGAACTGAGTACGACTGTACATTACTATTATATAAATACATAACAGGACTTTTAAACTGAATGTACTTTTCATTAGGAGGACATCGTTGATTACATCGAGTACCTGAGAGATAGAGAAACTTCCACATGGGGATTAAAAAATCCAATACATAAGGAACACGACCCAAATATGCCCCCGATAGGGACGCGCATGCGCCGCGGGTCGACTTGGAAGTGGGCAAACCAGGACACAGAGGGACCAGGAACTGTCATTGGGCATCAGAAGAACGGTATATATGTCAGCTTATAAGTAGGTATTGTCAACCCTGAATAATTTTCCACAGAAAGAGTAGGTATGTATTTGATTTATGCCCTGTTAGTAAATAGTCAAAAGTGTTCCGCTATGATCTTCAAGATTGTAGGTAACTGTTTTTATTTATTCCGTGCTGTATATGAATTTGATAAAAAATATATATATATATACAACACCTATAAAGCACCCTATATAATTTGTAACATTACTCTAAAGCGCTTTACAACATATGGATAATAGTATTAGTTATAATAGATAAACAAAAAAGGCAAACAATCACCATTATACTTTAAGCAAGGAGATAATCATCTCAATGTGCATATAAATGAATAAATAATGGGTGTGATGTACATGACGTCTGTGCAAAGAGCCTAAACTTCAGACGTGAAGAGGTGGGTCTTCTTGAATTTGGTCAGGGTATTTGACTTTCTAATAGCAGATGATAAGCTATTCCACAACGTGGCCGACATTCACCCAAGGCACCCCTATAGAGAGGGGGAAAGAATAAGCTATCCAGTTTCCCCCTTAGTTACTAACAGAGAGGAGGAAAGAATCAGCTAGACAATAGTTTCCCCCCTAGTTACTTATAGAGAGGGGAAAGAATCAGCTAGACAATAGTTTCCCCTTAGTTACTTATACAGAGAGAGAGGGGAAAGAATAAGCTAGCCAATAGTTTCCCCTAAGTTACTAATACAGAGAGGGGGAAAAGAATCAGCTAGCCAAGAGTTTTCCCCTTAGTTACTAACAGAGAGGGGGAAAGAATCAGCTAACTAATAGTTTTCCCCTTGTTACTAATACAGAGAGGGGGGAGACTCAGCTAGCTAATAGTTTCCCCCTTAGTTACTAATACAGAGAGGGGGAAGACTCAGCTAGCCAATAGTTTCCCCCTCTTTTAAAAATCAATGGAACTAAAAATGGTGGTAAAGAATTTTGATAATGGCTTTGTTGAGCAGCAAGCAGAGCCAGCTATAAATGTTGTTTGTAAGGATTCTTGTGAAGTTTTGGAATCCTATACAAACAAGGCAAGTACGTATCTCTATCATTATTGGATATAATTTAAAAAGGCTCTGGAACAGCAAACTATCTCTGAAATGTAAATTCCATGAACAGATTAGTCTTGAATGGTCACCAGCAGATAGGGACAAATAATTAATAACTTCTTACATTTGTTGTTCGTTTTGGTATTATTTACTTATTAAAATATGTTAAAGGTAGTGTGTAACAGATCAGTAAAGTGATAGGTAATAGTTTTTCGGATATCTGACTTTATCCTGTAATATCTTGCCTTTTTAGATTCTGCATTAACTGACAAGCTGTTTTATTCGTCCAAATTATTTGGTCTCTGTTAACGTCAGTAAAGCCATGTTGCATTGTACACTACTTAGAACAGACTGCAGTCACATCGTCAACCATGTTATACATGAACGAGGGATGGTTCATTTGAATGGTATAACCAAACTAACACAATTTTGTCATGGTGAAATCAATATCAATTTGCTGATCTTCGTGTTTAACTAAACAATAAATGCAATTGTCATTATGAAAGCAGGATCAATTTGCTTATCTTCACGTTCAACAAAACAATAAATACAATTTCTGTCATGATGAAAGCAACATCGATTTCATTATCTTCATGTTCAACCAAACAATACATACAATTTGGTCATGATGAATGATGCTATTAGATATTATTATAAATTCAGTAGTTACAGTATTGTATTGAGGATTATGTGAGAAGAGAAAACTGACAAAGTTTAGTTCAGATCAAGCTCGTTGATTATAGCTAAGATTAAACTGACTATAATATTGGGTCAGATCAAGCGAACTCGTTATTGGTAAGATGACACTGACCAATAATGCTTCAAACAAACTATCATTAAAACAAAATCTTTTTTGGTAACCCTTTGTTGTACTTACTTATATATATGTGTTAGACACGTCTGTAAGGTGGCTCGTACAGACTTGTATAGACTTGATAAATGATGCTACTGAACAATGTATAGTCTTGATAAATGATGTTACTGAACAATGTATAGACTTGATAAATGACGTTACTGAACAATGTATAGACTTGATAAATGACGTTACTGAACAATGTATAGACTAGATTAATGACGTTACTGAACAATGTATAGACTAGATAAATGGTGTTAATGAACAATGTATAGACTTGATAAATGATGTTAATGAACAATGTATAGACTTGATAAATGATGTTACTGAACAATGTATAGACTAGATAAATGGTGTCAATGAACAATGTATATACTTGATAAATGATGTTACTGAACAATGTAGAGACTTGATAAATGACGCTACTGAACAATGAATAGACTTGATAAATGGCGTTACTGAACAATGTATAGACTTGATAAATGATGTTAATGAACAATCTAGTGCATTACTTTTGTTTTCTTTTTTCCTGTTCTGACATTCGTCTGTGCTGATGAAATGAAATGAATAAAATATTGAAAAAAAGAAAATAGTGTGTTCCTGTTTATTTGATTACCAGAACATGTAACTATTTGTATTTCTTATGCATGTTAAAAAACTTATTGTATGAAAATACTCATAAGATATCTAATTTAATGAATATGTTATATTTGGTCATTTATCTCCAATGTGTAATAACAAACTGAAATAAATTACAACATTAACTAAATTGAATATATTTGGTTATTTCAGTCGTACTTGTAATAAACAACTGATGAAATACAACGTTTACTAAATATATTTGGTCATTTAAGTCATACGTGTAATAATATACTGCATGCTTAACTACAGCATTAACTATATATATTTGGTTGTTAAAGTCGTACGTGTAAACACATACAATATATTTGGCTATTTAAGTCGTACATGTAATAATTAACTGATAAATTACATCATTTACTAAATACATTTGGCTAATTAAGTGTTAAACTCAGACTTTTCTAATCTAGTCCGTGTACATAATAACAATCTAGCACACTTATTTACCCCATAGGTTACCTCGCTAGGCCAACCCAATCACGTGATCGTTGTTTGTTACTTTAAATAGCAACGTAATATGTGTATATAGTATGTGGGAAAACCTTGTTTTGACAATTCAGAGGCCGTTTTGACACGTACGAGGAAGTGTACTACAAAATGTGACGAGATATATATGCAAGGTAAGTTTTGCTCGTGTATATTTAATAAAATGAGGGACAGAAGGCCCATCATCCCCCAGGAAGTCATTGATGGCCTCCGCCACCAAGGTCTCTCTGGGGGAGAAGGGACGAGGAGCCTCAACAGCCCGCGCTGGGTAATGTCTACCCTCCACTATAAGGGCAAGAAGACCCATGACGTCTGGGACCCCGCAGTCATGGGCCTGTGCACAGAGCATGCGCACAAGGCCCCTGACCCATTGGTCCCAGCCATCCTCGGGGCTGCCCTCATGGTCAGGGTGTCGCTGCGTCAACTGCTCCCGGTTGTTCTCGCCCACCCCACACGCCAGGCATCCGCCCTCCACGTTCACCAACAAATTGAGGTGAACGGAGAGGGCGTGACGCCTAGGGTGGCGGTCAACATCCGGGCACAGGTCACAGTTCCGGTACCTGACCCCTTTGTTCCTAGCCGGCTCGCTGGGGGATGACGATGCCCCTTGCTCGCTTGCCAGCGAAGGGACATGACGCCTCTCGGCGGAGGAGGCCGTGCCTCGAGCAGAGAACCGCTCTAGAGGCACAAACCCTCCCTCGGCCCCGGCAGGAATGTAGGGGAGGGGTCCCAGGGACTGGGCCCTAGACCCCCTTTCCCCTGTAAGGGAAGCTAGCCCCCTACCAGCTAACTGGCAAGAAGGCTCCTCCCAACTCCGAGCAGAAAACCGCTCAGGAGGTTGAACGCTTACCTTCGGACCCGGCTGCAGGTTCAGCCTGGGTCCTGAAGGTTGACCAGAGGTGGAGGGAGACGCAGAGGCAGCTGACCGCCTCCGTCTTCCGGATCTCCTCCTCCTCCTGGGCTTCCGGTCCTTTCCCGGTGCCTCCTTCTCCTCCGAGTTGGGAGGAAAAGGGGCCCCCTGGAAAGGCACCGGCGGGGTGGCCTCAACCACCTCCTCCACTGGTCTCTGGGGTG